ATCCAGAAAGGGACGCAACTGGCGAATCAGGCGAACCTGATGAAAAATCCTCCCGGTCACGGCCGTCAAGTGCTCTTCTAAAGACAGCCGTGAGTCCAGGAGGACGCCCAAGTTGCGAGCCCTCTCCGTGGGGGCCAATGATTCGCCCCCAATAGTCAGTGATGGCGTCAACTGACTATATCGGGACGTCGGAAACCACAGCCACTCAGTCTTGGATGGGTTGAGCCTGAGCCTGTTCCTCCCCAACCAGATCCGTACGGCCTCCAGGCACCGGGACATCACTTCAAGGGCATCGTTGGGGTGATCCGGGGTGGAGATGTACAGCTGGGTGTCGTCAGCGTACTGATGGTACTCCACCCCGAAACCACGGATGATCTCGCCCAGCGGCTTCACATAAATGTTGAACAGGAGAGGCGAGAGGACCGACCCTTGCGGCACCCCACATATGAGGGGCCTCGGGGTCGACCTCTGTCCCCCTGTCAACACAGACTGCGACCGGTCAGAGAGAAAGGAGGAGAACCACCGCAACACAGTGCCTCCCACCCCCAACTCTTCCAACCGGTGCAGCATGATACCATGGTCGATGGTATCAAAAGCCGCTGAGAGATCTAACAGGACCAGGACAGAGGAGCACCCCCTGTCCCGAGCCCTCCAGAGGTCATCAACCAACGCGACCAATGCCGTTTCCGTGCTGTACCCGGGCCTGAAGCCCGACTGGAACGGATCCAGATACGTCGTTTCATCCAGGTGCTGGGGGAGCTGTTGCGCGACCACACTCTCAACAACCTTCGCAACAAAGCGAAGATTGGAGACCGGACGATAATTTACCAACATTGCCGGGTCCAGGGAAGGCTTCTTGAGGAGAGGCCTCACCACCGCCTCTTTCAAGGCGGCGGGAAAGTCACCCTCACTCAGCGAAGCGTTTATAATCCCCTGGAGCCAGCCTCGTGTCACTTCCCGGGAAGCCAGTACTAACCAGGAAGGACACGGGTCCAATAAACAAGTGGTCGCGTTCAGTCTACCCAGAATCCTGTCCACGTCCTCAGGGGTCACAGGATCAAACTCATCCCAGATAACATTCTCAAGACCTGCCCCTGTCTCTCCCCCTGAGACTACCCAGTCGGAGTCCAAATCTTCCCGAATCTGAGTGATTTTGTCATACAGATACTGAACAAAATCCTCGGCTCTACCCTCCAAGGGGTCCTCCCGCGCTTCCTGGTGGAGCAGGGAGCGGGTCACCCTAAAGAGGGCGGCCGGGCAATTATCTGATGACGCAATAAGAGCAGCAAAATAACTACATTTCGCTGCTTTTATCGCCACTAAGTAATTCCTAATGTGGGATCTTACTAGTGTCCGGTCAGATTCAAGAAGACTGGCCCTCCAACTACTCTCTAGGCGTCTTTTCCGGCGCTTCAACTCCCTCAGCTCCTCGGTAAACCAAGGAGCCAATTGAGATCGGCGCCGGGTCAGAGGCTGCAAAGGCACGACCCGATCCAGAGCACCAGCAGCCGCCCTATCCCAGGCGGCCATCAGGTCTCCAGTCGAGGCGTGTGCCAGAACCTCAGGAAATGGCCCAAGCTCCGTCTGGAATCTGTCAGGTTCCATCAGGCGCCTGGGGCGGAACCATCTGACCGGCTCCGCCTCCCTGCGGCGGGGTGCAGCGGTTCGAAAGTCGAGACGAAGGAGAGAGTGATCTGACCATGACAAGGGTTCAGTAACTATATCCCCTATATCAAGATCCCTCAACCACTGTCCAGAGACAAAAACCAGATCCAGCGTGTTTCCCCCTGTGTGGGTAGGGCCATGAATTAACTGGGTCAGGTCCATAGCTGTCATGGAAGCCATGAACTCCCGAGCCATCTCTGACGTCTCACCCACGGACGGCAGGTTGAAATCCCCCATAACCATAAGCTTAGGGGTATCAACCGCCACCGCGGCGATGACGTTGAGTAGCTCGGGCAGGGCTGTTGCCACGTGGCAGGGAGCCAGGTACGTGATCAGCAAACCCATCTGAACCCCATGACCCCATTTCACAAAAAGGGATTCACAGCCGGCCGTCTGAGGAACAGTGGCCTCCCTCGGTCTCAGACCTTCTTTAATGATAACCGCTACCCCCCCTCCCCTCCCCTGTGACCTGTGATTTTTATTTAAATAAAAAAATCCGATTTAAATAAAAAAATCCGATTTAAATCAAAAAAATCCAATTTATAATGTACGTCTGAACTTGATCTGGCATAAGGAGGTCACAGAAGACATCACACCCTCTGTGGTTTGGGTTACAGGGCAGTGGTATAAAGCAGACCCTTTAATTTGCTGCTGAGGTCATAGGGCAGCTGCACACGAGCCAGATGAGACCATGTGTCAGCGTTCCAGACCCCCCACTCCAAGTAAATACGCGGAAGCAAGCATTTTCCAAAGTCCTCTTTACTAGAATAGGCAAACTGGCACATCTGGGAAATCCCGAATCTGAAAAGCCCCGGCTTTCCTTCAGCAATTCAAAGCTCCCAAAACCATCCCATTTCTCCCCAGTTGGTCACATGCTCCAATCAACGTCCGTTCCATCCCGACTCAGCCCCTGACCTTGACCGATAGGAAGAATGCTATTATGTCTACTAATTCCCCTCTGCTAAATCCCCCCTCCTACTTTCCCACACACGAGGAGGTGGCAGCATGGAAGCTTCCGGCCTAATATGGCTTCCAAGGCTGACATCATGTTCCTGCACCACAGACTGCCAGTGGCTGAGTTCCGTGATACACTGAGCCACAAAAGGCTCACCTCCTTCTCAACTTCTGAAGAAGACGATAGGAGAACTCAAGAAGGCAGACGTAAACTTGGAATGAATGACAGCAGCCCTTTCAAAGTCAAGAGTTGCATTTTGAGTTGGGTTGAAAAATTACTGATAATCACCTCCCAATTTCAAACCAGCATCAGTGTAGCCACATTTTGTGCCAAGTTTGGATTATTCTGTCTATTCCTTGCATTCTGTGCCCTCAGGGTCTGACTTGGTTGCAATGCAGGCTGCCCCAGGCACCCACTTGCCCCTCACCCCAGCAATTCCTCCAAGGATCTCTGCACCTCACCAAAGTGTGCAATTTGTGAGAAAGCAGCAGGACTACAGCTGTGCATATTCAGCAGAGAGAAAGTTGTTCTGGAAGCAATTCCAGCATCTGGCTTGTGAATTGAGGCACCTGGGATCCAGTTATTTACAATGCCAGCTTGTTGATTTACTACGACCTTGGCTCTCCTTTGATTTGGCATGTAAATCTTTGGCTTGACTTTGGACTGCTGGACTTGGAGATTCGCCTGGCCTAGCTAAGTCTCATCTACAATTAATCCCTGCCAGCCTTGCTGTTGGGTTTGCTGAGTAAGTCTTCCCCTTAATACTCCAAATGCCTTAGGAACGGTATCCATCTTCTGAAGGAGTGCTTAAAAAAGTAGGATGCAAAACCCAGATTCCGGTTCAGGCTCAGGTTATCTGGGACTGAAAGAGCTTCAATTCCAAATGACTCCCGAACCCCCACTCAAAAGAACCGACCTGCTCTCTTTTCTCTAGGTTCTATTCCAACATAAAACCAGAAAACTCGTAATAGCAGTGTATCTTTCCTCCTTTTTATTTGAAGAAAGTTTTGATATTAAAGAACCTGATTGTAATACATTTTTTTTTGCTTTTAATTTATATGCCGCCCTTCTCCGGAGACTCAGGGCGGCTTACAATGCGTTAAGCAATAGCCTTCATACTTTTGTATATTTATACAAAGTCAGCTTATTGCCCCCACAATCTGGGCCCTCATTTCACCTACCTTTGAAAGGATGGAAGGCTGAGTCAACCTTGAGCCTGGTGAGATTTGAACTTGCAGTAATTGCAAGCAGCAGATTTTAATAACAGTGCTTTAGTCCACTGTACTACAGGCTCTTATGAGTCCACTGTACTACAGGCTCTTAGATTTTTCATTTAAGAGGTCCTTAGTGCTCTCTGAGCTTGGTTGTTTTCTTGCATTTTTCATTTACTTTCAAAATTACCATAATTACCAAAAGGAAGTCGATCCTAAATTTAAGATGTTCCTCTTCGAACAAAGAAAGAGAAAAACAAAACGTAAGACTCCTGTGCAACGTTCCATTTTCCAAACTTGTTAATCAATGGTTGCCAATTCTGACTTAGACCAAATTAAATGAGTTATAAAATAAGTCATTCCATATGTAAATTTAATCTCCCAATAATATCTACACATATAGGTTATCATTTCATACACAAATTGCACACACTCAAACCTACATACGTCTCCTTCCTTTTGGGAACAGAACAGGAAAGAAGAGGGAAGGGTTAGTACTCCAAGAAGGGGAGGAAAAAGGAGAAATAAAATGAAATGAAGACGGGGTAGAAGAGAAATTATGTAAAGTTCAAAGATTTCTGTGCTGGGCTCAGCAAGCATCTTCCTGCCAGATCGCCATGTTTAGAACTTTTGAAGTCTCGTGGTCCTTTCCCTGTCTTCCAGGAGAAAAGGAGTATATGCCCCATACGTATTAAAATGGAAGGGAAACAAGTCTGTCCTAGGTCAAACCTCCCAGGTAAGCTAGACCGGGAACACGATTAGATGAGACAATTCTACTTTTTGTAAAGCTACATTAATAGAATCATGCAAGTCTATCAGTTGGGGGGGGGTGTCCCCTTCCTAAGCTTCTTTCTCTGACCATTAGACCACTTGGGGCTCCTGCCTTGCTTGTCTGATCATTCCCTCCTTCAAGGCCATTCTCACATACCATGACTTCTGCCTCTCTGGAGGGAAGGATGCTCTGAGGACAGAAAAGGTCTTTACTTAGAAGAGTGAGTTTCTATTGGGGCAAACAAGCAACAACTTCCTCCTTTTACACATGGTTATTTTGGAAAGCAGCTGACCTTTTTTTGTTTAAATAACTGTCCGTCCAACTTACTGTACAGGCCTTCATCTTGAAATGCATTAGAAACAACATCAGAGCAAAATTTCACTTCCCAAGTCCTTACCTCATCTTCTGGGTTCTGTTCCCCTGGGCACCGGCAGAAGAAATAGTAGCATTGGAAAGCTGGATCTCTGAAGATGTGTTGCTGCCTTCCTCATGGGTCAGCTCCATAAAAGTGCCATTAGCAGCGTAAGCCAGCAGCTCATCACTGTCATCATAGTCAACATAAAGATGGTCTATTTCAGGCCCAAAGGTGTTGATGGGATTCACGGGATTAAAAATACTGTTCAGGGTCCTGTTCCAGATGGATTCTTTCGAATCTGATCTCTTATCCCCAAAGCTGTGGATGATTGCATTTTCTGAAAGGAACTCTTGGGAAGGGAGAAGGGAATCCAGTTTGCTTCCATTATTTCCTTCTACCTTATAATTGGTTTTAGTTGCGTTTGATTCTGGAATGAAAAGGGGGGAAATATCAAAGGTAACTGAAGTGAACAATTGGCCAAATTCAAAAAATTAATGGAAAATGTCAATTGGGCTCAGGCTCCCAATGTCCTACATAATCCAGAAAACCCTTGAGGTAAGGAGTGTAAATCCCATTTTTAGAATTATAATCTAGATGGAGACTTCTGAGGTTGAGAGATAATGCTGAATGCACACAGTACATCCCATGGTTTTGCTGTAAAAATAAAAAAAACTTGATAATCTAGAGTTACTTGGTCCAGAGAATCTGGAGTTGTGGAGATGGCACAATTTGACCCAGTTACTTCAATGTGACTGACCCAGATTTGGAAGAAAATTTAACGACAGAGGACTCTGTTTCTTGCACAGTATGGGAACAACACAAACAGCAGAAATGTTTTCATTTAAACTCTTCAGATTGTTCTAAGGTTTATTCCACCAGGCAGGCCTGGCCTAATGTTTTCCCTCTTTTTAATTATGCAAATTTTAATTGGTTTTTAAATAATTGGGGTGTTTTAATCTGTCTGGGCCAAATTGTTTAATTCGATTTTACTTTGTTTTTAAATTTTGTATTTTTACTGTTTGGCTGTTCACCGCCCTGAGTCCTTCGGGAGTAGGGCAGTATATAAATCAAATAAAGTAAAGTAAAGTAAGGGGATAATAAAGCATGCCAAAATTCATGGAAAAGCATGCATGTTCTCACCTTTGAAAAAGGTGCCCATAATTTGCTCCAGCCAAGAATGTGATTGTTGTTTGGTATATAATAGTAGCCATCAGGATGGAAAACATGCTTGTGAAATATTGCACAAGTAGATTGATGGAATGGATTAAAGGATCAACTTTTTTTTTTACAAAGAATACTGTGTCCCTTCCTGAATGAGACGACAAAGATATAAGGAATTTGGAGGGTCTCATAAGCCATGAAGGCCCTCGCTAATGGCCACTTGAGTGTAAAAAGAGAAAGATAATGTTATGTGACCCAAGGATTCCAGAGAGCTGCCCAGAATATGGGAGAGAAGCAGGGGGGAAAATGGAAGGCAGGAGCTGAAGGGTGCACTTTGAAGAGGTCAGACAGAAGAGAAGGAAATATGGTGTGAAGAAAATGCACTGAGATCAGGAATCTGAGGGACCGGCCAGAGCACCTGGGCAGGAATAGAAGGGAGGGGAACATATTCTTGGGGTTGAGTTAGAGATTGCTAAAGGAGGCAGATGATCTGGAGAAAGTCCTCCTGGATTAATTTCCAAATGTTTGTGGAAGGAAGACACAGTAATAACAGGCAAATTCAACTACTTGGACATCTGTTGGAAAACCAACTCAGCCAAAATGGCTAGGGCCCAAAGTATTTTTCCGTGGCCTTGCCGGCTTTTACTTTGTAGGAGGCTGATGAAAAACAAAGAGACTGATTCTCACAAGATCTGATTGCAACCCCTGTGAAAGTAGTAGGATTCTTGAAAGGAAGCGATTCTCTTTTCTTAGGGTCCTAGAGAAAGGAGAACTGCTCATACCCCCCACCCCCCACCCCCAGATTCAGGAGATCCAATTTCAACAAGCTTAAAAAAGTACTAAGAGCCTGAGTGGCGTAAGGCAGCATTTAACATCCAGCTGCCTGCAATTACTGCGAGTTCAATTCTCACCAGGCTCAAGGTTGACTTAGCCTTCCATCCTTTCTAAGGTGGGTAAAATGAGGACCCGGTTTGTGGGGGCAATAAGATGACTTTGTATAAAATATACAAAAGTATGAAGGTTATTGTCGAGCCCTGGCCAGGGCTCGCCATCTCCGGGACGCTGGGATGTCTGGGGCCAGACAAAGCGCTCACCTGGCCTCCCGGCACAGCGGCATCGGCTCTGTGCAGCAGCTGGAGGATCGGGGTGATGCAGCTGGCCGAGAACTACCGGCGCTGTCCTGTGATGTCAGAGCTGCAACGCCGGGCGTCACAGAACTCAACAGCTGATGTGGGAGGGGGGGGGATTTTGAAATTAGTTTGCCGGATGGTGGTTTGGGAGCCGGGGAAAATATAAATAGCACTGCATGGCGGTTGCATGCAGCGCTTACTTAAACTGTGTGTTCCGGTTCGTTTTGTTCTTCCTGCTGTGCTGCTGCTGATCTCGAATAAACGATTGTTAAAGGGCACTGTGTCTGATGACTTTTTTGTGGACACGGACTGGATGACAGACGGAGCTTAACGCATTGTAAGCCCCCCTGAGTCTCCGGAGAAGGGCGGCATATAAAAATAAATAAAAAAATAAAAAATAAAAAAAATACTAAGCAGAATCCCAAGGGCTGCTAGAACTGTAGAGGCCTGAACGGGGTGCAGGAGGCTTTGTCTCACCAGGCAAGACTGACCAGAAACCTTCCATCTTTGATTCAGGATGGGGTGGTGCACAATCTGGGGATCCACTTGGACCCAGCTTTGGCTAGGAGGGCTTTGTGTTCAATTTCCAGTTGTGCATCAGGTGTGCCGGTTCCTGGCCCAGAAAGCGGGGAGGGTCTGTTCCTGATCACTCATGCTGTAGTCCCCTCCCATTTGGATTACTCTACACAGTCTGGGCTTGAGGTATACATGGAAGTTTCAGGTCCTGCTCCTGCTCCATGAACTACATTAGCTTCCGGCACTGGTGAAATCCTCCCTGGTTTGCCACTGGTTTGCTGCCCACGCATGTGCGGGGTGCGCCAAATGCACGCTGCGTGCATGCATGCAGTGTGCACCAAATGCACGCTGCATGCATGCATGCACAGTGTGTGCCAAACACATACTGCATGCACATGCGCAGTTCATACCAAACACATGCTATATGCGTACACATGTGCAGTATGCGCCAAATGTGTGCTTTGCATGGAAAAAGGAGGCTTGGGAAGGTAAGTGGAACAGCGAGGGGGGAATAGCTGTGCCGTATGATTTAGATTCGCTAGAAAGCTAGTGAATTTAAATCGTGTGGCACAGCTAATAGTCAGAAATACCGGTTCGGATGAACCAGTAGCTTATTTTTTACCACCAGTTCGCCCAAACCGGTAGCTTTTATCACTACTGGTTTGCCCGGACTGGTGCAAACCATTTCACCGCTGGCTCCCGGTGTGTTTGTCCCGGGTACAATTCAGGGTTCTGATTGTCAACTTTAAAGTTTTTTCATAGCTTAAGCCTAGACCAGCGGTTCTCAACCTGGGGGTCGCGACCCCTTTGGAGGTCGAACGGCCATTTCACAGGGGTCACTAAAGCCCTCTCTCGCCGCCCCCCCACGCCTTCACTCACCCTCACTCTCTGCTCTGTTGGATCACCCACTCCCAATCTATTGCTGCCTCCTGAGTCCCAGCTCATGGCTAGAGGAAAATAAACTGTTTAAATTCTTGCGGCGGGGCTTCAAAAGGCCGCCCTATAGCCAGTGGTGGGATTCTGCATTTGTTAAATTGCTGGCTTGCCCCGCCCCTCCGCACCACTATTTATTGCCAATAAATAGTGATGGGCAAGGGGCGGGCAAGCCAGCAATTTAACAAATGGTTCGGTGTTTTTTTGTAATTTTATTGGCCCGCGGAGCTTCAGCATAGGCTAATTAGCCCTTGATTAGATCGGCTCCCGACTCTCAGCTGATTTGCTCTCAGCTGTTTTGCAGAGGGCTCTGCTGCTTGCTGGAGCAGATTTTTTTTCCCCCTAGCTATGCTGAAAAACGAAACTGAAAGTAAAGCAGGCTGTTGGCTTTGCTGCAACATTGGAAAATTAGGCAGGCAGATTTATGTTCTTTTTCCTCACCAAAAAAAGTAGGTGCAAACAATGGGAAATTTAGGGAAAAAGAGGAGGTTCAAGATTTTAAAAAACAAAAGAAAAAAAGCTCTATTTAACTAGGGAATTGTAATAATTGAGATACTATTAATTGTATATTGTGTTGAACGCAGAAATGGTTAAGTTGTGGTTTGGAGGAATATATGGGGGAAATTATTTGGTTTATTATTATTGGTAAATATAATTAATTGATTTGTAAGAATTGAATGGCAGTATCACTTTTAGGGATCTGACCCCCCAATAATCCCAGTGTAATCTCTAGGAATCTTCTTTTATCATTCTAGTGTAATCTCATTCTAGTGTAATCTCTAGGAATCTTCTTTTATCATTCTACTGTTAAGCTGACTTTGTATAAATATACAAAAAATATGAAGGCTATTGCTTAACGCATTGCAAGCCGCCCTGAGTCTTCGGAGAAGGGCGGCATATAAATCAAATTAAAAAAAAAAATCCCAGCATAATCATCTTTTACCTTTGTAAATATATTATTCAAACATATTCAAATTATTACAATTATTATAGGTATTTAAATAATATCCTTCTATCCTTCTAATTACCTTCTAACATCTTAATAAAAAATTAATTATGTCTATTGCTATATTTTCTTATAACAATTTAACCTTTAAATGTAGTTCTTAGTTCAAATAATGCTATTTAGTGCAATTTCCCAATTATCCCAAATTTTATCTATTAAACCATACCATTTATATAACACCAATTAAGTATTTTTTGTTTAAAAATCATAATCCTATATTATTTCAATTTTCTTTTCTTTTTTTACTTAAATAAAGAATGTTCAAATTGTTACAATTGTTATACATATTTAAGCAATATCCCAATTATTGTAACTGTCAATTTTCTATTCACTTTTATAAATATAGTTAAAGTATTCAAATTATAACAATTGTTATAGGTATATAAACAATATCCCAATTATGACCATCAATTTTCTCCAGTAATACCTTC